GAGGCCGCATTTGGCAAGGGCTTGTCACCCGCCGATCCCTTGAAGCGGGCTCCAGATCGGGACCCCCCACCCACGGGGGACAGGGACCAATCGCATGTCATTGACAGCCATTGAAATACTTTGGGCGAGGGGCAAAAAGGAATGGAATCCATCGAAACTACAAGAAATCCACGGGGGGGGGGGGAACCCAAAGAAATTCCAAAAACAAGTATGGCAATGATACGCGGCTTTGCCATCGTAAAGTCCCGGCGACAGGCGAACAAATAACATCGGCACTCTGTCGGACAACATGTCTCTGGGACACAAACAGCGGCGCAAAACACGTGGACAGACAATATCGCAATACACGCAGGCCGCCTCCGTTGATGGAAAAAGGACTCGTCTCATGACGGCGATGTCTATTTTATTGCCGCGACGTGTGAGAAAAGCAAGGTTTTCAAAGAAAAGGAAGAATACCTGGGCGCGTGCTCGACGAGCGGCCGGCTCTTGTACTTTGGGAACTCGTGCGACTTGAACTCGGCCACGGACGAGATTCCCGGCTAGCTGTCCTCGGTGGGAGTGCCTGCGCCCAAACACGCCGCACGCCACGTCATTCATCTTGCTCTCGTTGCCCTCACCGCCCCCCTGTCCCAAATTCATTTCACACTCATCCGGTAGCTCATCCATCACCCGATCCCAATCGAGCGGGGACGCCGAGTTCAACATGACTAAAAACAGAAAAGCACCATTTGCGAAATGTGTTGTTCTTTTTCTTCATTCATCCGCTCCGTTGTCGGGGAACTCAACGAAGCAAACCTCTCTTCGATATTTGCCGAAGGGACCCGCGAGCCAGAAAGCGGAAAGTCAAAGCGGCGGTCGAACGGCAGCTTCGGCAAACACATTTGGAAGCCGCCGCTTGGTTTTCCTTCTGAAGAGGGAGGCTTTGACGCTCATCCCTCGTTTTTCGCAGGTAACGGGAATTCATGGACGTGTTGGTTTTGTCCACTGCAGACTGCAGATGACGCTCTGTAAAATGGATCAGGAATTTCACTTGGTGGCGCCACCAACTTTCTCGAGCCTCGTCGCAAAGAGAAGTTTTCGTCGATAAATGGTGGTCTTGTCCAGAAAGAATCTGCTTTGTCTTTTCACTCACTGGATTTTGCGGTGAACGCGCAGAGGTCTCCAATGTGAAGGTGCGGGATGGCCATCTGTAATTTGGGCTTCAATATGTTCCGATTCCCAAACGGCGAGTGTATTTCCGGGCTGGTCCTTGTCATCACGGACGCATCTGCGTTATCAAGTGTCAGGAAATGAGATTGCCGAGGACTCAAAGAAAGACAATTAGCTGTACTTGTACTCTAATCAACGGCTTAAAGTATCCCAAATAAATGAAGAAATATCTTCGTTCAACTATCTATGCCAGTGACATATCTTGACAGGGAGAACAATGAAATGCTCTTCCACAAGGTGACAAGCAATCCGCGTTTCCACTTTGAGTGTGCCAGCCGGGCGCCCCGTTCGTTCGTTTTCAATTCGGACATCGACCGGTGAAAAGAGACAAAACGGCGCTATTGGAGCCACAAATGGTGGAGGACGAAACACATTTACCGCGTGCTTGCGAGTCTCGAGCGGCGGGTGGACTCTTTGGGTCTGGCCAGCGACGTCGTAGGACGCGAAAACTCACCAGAGACGACGAGCGTCGGAGTCCCCGACTTCGGAGCTTCTTCTCTGGCCGGACGCCGCCGTCTTTCGGCGCTCGCGTGTGGTGCTGGTTGGCAAAAATCAGCGACAACTTCTTCGTCGTCGTCTTCTTCTTTGCTCCTGCTTCGCCAAAGCGTTTTTTTTTTCTTCACAGCGCCCGGTAATCAGAAGGTGTTCGGGCTTTTAAAAAACGCTGGTGTGACGCGATCCGGCCGCGGTTTGTTTCTCCTGAGCGCGGATCGTGATAGCGGCGACACGCTGACCGGAGCCGACCGACGATTGTGATTCGCGGTCTTGGAGCCGAGCCGAGCCGAGGAGAGCCGAGAAGAGCCGAGTTTTCTTCCTCTCTGTGGCTGTCTTTCTGGGGAGAAACAGCGCCTCGTAGAGGCCAGTTGTGAAACAAGAAGGGGCTACACTGGCGCAACAGCGCCCCCGCCGACAAAAATGTGGCAGTCCTCCAACGGTGCGTTAACATGGGCAGGAATACAAAGACAAAATCGGAACTACCGCTATTTGTCGCTCTCTCCAGCGATCCATCCTTCCAAATGTCCCGACGGCTTTGTTCACATCTGACTGCAGAAAGGGGAGGCGAGAGAAAGAAATTTGGCTGCACAAATAATTTATCTTGAAAACTGTTGATCTGAAAAAGATAGAGGTTAGTTGTCATTGCATCAAACGAAACGGACACTGGCGTCCAACACGTACAGACAGGAAAGGCTCCTCTCATATTGTGATGGAGGACAGATTTTTATTGGATTGGATAAACTTTATTGTCAAATGTACTGTATGTGTAACATACAGCACAGATGAAATTTCTTCCCTCTCACCATAAAACAAAAGGAGCCGCTGCGGGTGTCCGCGCCGCTATCAAAAGAAAAGTGAACAAAATTATATTGTTGTACCCCTTCGTATGTTTGAAACATGATATTAAAACTTCTTTTTTTTTTTTTTTTGCTTGATGCCTTAGCACCCGTTTTCCTTGTCTTGCTGTCAACACGAATAGATCAAATCCGGCTGACAATCCCGCTGGCCGGAAGAGGCATTTGAAACATTCCCTCCAGCAGAATGTATTCAATATGGTGGGGGGCTCAGAGCAAACAAGTGCGCATAATTTCCTGCGGGTCTCTCCCCCCCCCGACTCTCTCTTTTTCTCTGACATGCTCAACCCCACTCGCGCTCTCTCATCAGTTGTGAAATTTGGATGAAGAGGTGAACATGTCGTGGACCTGCAGGACCTTCCTGGCGCTCCTCACGGTGCTTGTGGCACTGTCCTGTAAGTCACGTGCCTTATTTCTGGTAGTGGTGGGCTGATTACCATTCCAGTACTTGGTAGAATTTTTTAGATATATATACTGTATGTGTGTGTGTGTGTGTTTGTGTGTGGTCACACAGTTTTTGCCAATTTTACTAGCACTTATCAGCCGATTGGATCGGTTGGCCGATTGGTTGGGGCCTCGTGCTGAGTGCAATCATACTAGTTAAGTATTTGCACTTGACTTGAGGGATTTAGCTTTCAGGTGACTTTGAACATCATCTTTTTTGTTGTTGTTGTCTTCATTGCACCGCATCAAAACGGGCATTGGAACGGACAGAAAAAAAAAAACCACTTTTACTTTCGTGCTTCAGTTTAGTTCAGTCGATACTTTTTTTAAAAATCGAAGTAGAGGAGTTACATCACTATTTCTATTCTTATCGGAGTCTTTTTTTCTGTCCGTCTACTTAAGGACTGAAATAGAGAGAGAGAGAGTACTCTCTGATATCCAAATTCTCATTTGGACATTTTTTTTCCTTCTTTTTTGTGAAGTGTGTCCCGAGGCCGACTGCGCAGCTGTGCCCAGCGGCAGCCAGACAGCCACCGAGGAATGGCGAGGTGAACGCATCGGCCATTTTGTGGCTTTTCTTTGTGCGCGGCGCTGCCTTGACTCCTACTTTCATTTACTTCCATCACCAATCTCACCCTAAAAACACCCAAATTATCAAGCCAAAGCGCATTATTCATCAAAAATGTCGAGAAATAAACACGCTTTCCATCATTGTACCTAAAGAATGACGCATGTGTTTAAGGAGTGCGGCCCAGCGAGTAAGATCAGTGGCCGCTTGGTGTGTGCGTGAGAAACTTGGTGTGAGCTGAGGCCGACAGCAGCTCCCTTGTGAGTGCTCTAGTTTTGGATTTGGGTTTTGGACTGGTTGGTTGCGGTCAATCAGCGGCGATTGTGGCTCTCCTTGTCCACGTGCCGGGGCATCACAGAACTTGAACTTCACTCCGCCCACACTTCCCTTGTTGCAACACAAAGTAAAAATAATCAACCAGGTGAGGGCTGGTGACGCAAGAAACTCCGAATTTTGAAAGTCAAGGCAGCACTGTGTTTCCGATCGTCTTTTTTTGCACCGCAGGGCCACTGAGGAGGATCTTCATGAAAGAGGCCGACGCCTCCAACTTCTTCAGGCGACGCAGCAGGAGAGCGCTCAAGTCGCCTGATGAGCTCAACGGTCAGTTGTTGACAACACAGAATAGTCGCGATTTGCCCACTGGGAGATGATTCAGGCATTATTTTCAGGGGAATCTCATCTCCAAAAAAAAAAAAAAAAAAAAAAAAATCCACAAAAATGATGTTTTTGTTTTTTTTTTTTGCTCAAGACAATGCGTAGTACAACATAAAAGTATTCCTTTGGCGCCATCTGGTGGCATCCCCGGCATCAAGGAACTATGTCAAAGTAAGCTGAGGAGCTTAATCTCCCGTTCATCACCAAGTGTGCCACTCTACAAAATGTACAATTGCCCCGAGGTGTCCCTCAAAAGTGTCAAAGAACGACATTTTAATGACGCCGTAGTTGCTTGGTGCCGAGATGCCACAAAATGGCAGCAAAAACACTGCTTTTGTCCAAATGACATCGACTTATTCCTTTTCAATGTTTTGTTAGCCCCAAAAACCGCTTGCCAAGCCCTCCGGCGATCTCGCCTTTGGGTCGCAATGAGTCGAGCTCAGCGCCGGTCCCCGAATGCGCACGCACGGCACTGTGAAAATTCCCCGAGCGCGAGGGGCCTTCGCGAGGAGGTGACAGAACACGGCGGGGCAATTGCAAACGCACCAAAAGACCGTCAGCGAGGGCCTTAAATGGTTGAAAAATTCTCGTCACTACAGGCAAAGTTTGGGCAGTCTGGCCAGCAGAAAGGACGTTGAGACGCGCACGTTTGAGTGACGGCTCAAAGCGACCCGGTTTTTCTAAGCTGGGGTCCGTAACTTGAAGGTGTGCAAAATCTTTTTTCGTTTTTTTTTTTTCTTTCTTTGATGAGCGCACACCAACTGGATTTGTTGAGAGACCAAACCAATGACGCCCTCCTCCCTTTGCGCCGGGGCAATTTAAAAGCTCGAAGAGGATTATGAGGCGCATGAAATTTGGCATCCCTGCCAAAAATTGGAGACCGCCCGCCGGAGTGTGTTGTCGCGGCGACTTTGATTCCCGCGGTAGACATTCCGGTCAGGACTCGTTGCTCTCGCTGTGAGTGGAGGAGATTCTTCCGAGCGGTTCAAAGGGCCCGACCGGGCTCCGGCCTTTGGGTCTGGGCCAACGCGGACGCTCGATAAGACAAAGCAAGCCGAGCGTCACACTGACTAAGGTCAAACAATGCTCTTCGTCTTCTCAGCTTTAATCTGGCGGGCTGGATTCTTGATTTAAAAAAAAAAAAATGTAACAAACAGACCTCAGAGAAAAACGGAAGCACACCAGCCGCACTGTCGGCCTCCACGGGGATCCCCCAGGGCTGCGTTCCGAGGCCCCTACTGGCTTTCTGTACATCATGTCTGCAAAGTCATTTTTCAACATTGTCATTGTCAGTCTCCTTCAAGGATAACGATAATCGTCACGGCCCAGCAGAAAAAGTCAGAGAGGACACGCCTATCGACCGGTCTCTCGCGACGATGTTTATCTGGTAGCATTGAAGTCACCGAGAATTGTTTTCTGGAAGACTGTCGATTCTGATGGTCAGAGAGCGCGTCTCGCAAATGTCTCGGTATCAACTGTCGAGATCGAGGGGTGTGACGAACGCGTTGAAAAGGCGCGTCCCGTCCTAATACTTCTCCCCATCTCCTGGCCGACAGCCGAACAAAGGCAAGTTCTGGCCGCGGACGAGCGCAGGAGAGAGTTCCACGAGGAGAAGAGGCAAGAGTTTGAGAGCTACGTCGAAGAGGTGGACGACGGTGAGTCCGGTCGACCGGCTCCAGCGCGAGCGCGTCAGCCCGCCGCTCGCTCATTGCCCGCTCTCCACTGGTCCTCCAGAGCAAAACGAGAGGAGCCGCGAGAGCGCGGAGCAGTGGCGAGAGTTCCACGACGACGGCATGCGTCCCCCCTACGAGTACAACCGCCGCACCGACTGAGCCGGGGCGACAAATCGTCTTCCTTCCTTCCTTCCTTGACAACCGCCACACACACAAGCCAGTCAACGAAGCCTTCCCCTTTTTCCCTTTTCTTTTTTTAATACATGACAACATTTCTGCATCCAACATGCAACATGCATTTAGGGGGGAAAAAGGGGAGTTCACAGCTTTTCGTAAGGTTTGTTTGTTTTTTTTTTTGCCTTATTTTGGTGCTTGGTGAGGGAAGACGACACAGACGGCAACAACAACAACAACAACAAAAAAACATTCAAGAGTGGCAAAGTAATAAATAAACTTTGGAGAGTTGTATTTACAGCAAAGAGAGGCTCGGTCATCTTCTTTACGTGTAAGAGTCCCAATCGCTGTTTGCGGTGAGAGAAAAAGGGGGGAAGAGTCTTTCTGCTAAATTCAACAGGTCGATATGAAAGCAAAGCAAAGAAGCGCAGCGACTGAGTCAAGTCAACTTCCAACACTTTGCTTCAGTTTTGTTTTTTTGGGTGTGGAGGGGGGGCACGGAAAGTGTTCCGGACGGATAGCTGCAATTTCAGGATGCACCTAAAATGCTCGGAGGTTGACGGCTCCCCTTTTGAACGCTTCCGTACGTTTTGCCGAGGGCAGCCAGGGCAAAGCGGCGGGATCCGATTGACAGCCCGAGCTTCCACTTCTGGACGTGGCGATTTGATGACCGATTCCAATTTAAGATCAGTTCGATCAGAAAAGCTTGATTTGACTCACAATGGAGAAATCGGCCGGGTTTGCCAAGGCCACTTTTTTTGCGGTCTGCCGAATTTCGAAAAGCGCTTCCCTCAAGTCGAAAGCGCTTCCGACACCGGATGAGCCGAGCGGCCTTGGTATGGATCTTCCCAAAGGGACGCGCGCCTCGAGGGCAAAGCAACATTTGCCACGCGTCTGCTTTGAACGAGGACTTTGTCACGCGTGACGTGACTTTCAAAAACAAATAGCCGCACGAGGTCACAAGCGACCCGCGAAGGTTCACCGGCACGTGAGGTCGAAGCGAAAAATTCTCCGCCATATGCCGAGCATTTTGCGAGCGGCGCGTAGCGCCGATGGCGAGAAGGGCGGCGGGGCGAAGGCTCCTCTTGGCGCAGGAGAAGAAGAATCAGCACACGGTGCGGGTTGCAAGGGGGGATTCGCTGGACTCGGGGCAACATCCCTGAGAACCTCAAAGTTGTCGTCCGGCGCGGTCGCGTTCACGAGAGGAAACGGATCCGTCCGGGCGTTACATTCGAGCGGTGCGCCCGACGACACCGAGTTCAGGTCCACACACATGAGACGAAGATTCGGCGCGGCGCAAAAGCTTTCCCATTTTGGCTCCAGGCGGCGGAATATTTACACGAGGCGTACGTGGGAGCAGCTGATTGGAGCACGCCGACGGCAGCTCGGATGAGGGAAGAAAAATCAATAAATCAAAAAAATCCCTTCCCTTCCGCGTGGCGCTTCTTGACAGCCTTCGGGAGAGCAACGCCGAGTGGACTCGATCCCGGGCTGAGCTCCTTCAATTCCTCCCCGAAATTTGCACAGGAGGCGGCGGGACGGGCGAGCTGGGCGAGCGCTCGGAATCACGAGGGTCAAGAGGGGAAACGCCCCCCCATCCCACCCTTCCTAGTCTTAAAGCTCTGTCGTCTCCCAGCTCACCTCCCGTGGGACCTGGCGTCATTTGGTCCCCGTGCGGATGACCGTGACGGTGGAGGGGCGCGGCACGACCGGCTCGGCCACCGACGGCGGCTCCTCGCGCAAAGGGGACGACGCCTCCGAGTCCCGGTCGGACGCTCTGACGGAGGAGGGCAGGGGGGCCATCGGAGGACCTGCGCCACAAGGACATCACAAAGCAAAACTCAAAAGACGCTTTTCAAACTTGGAAATCGTCCTTGGGAATTGACAACATTCAAGGCGGCCGACTTTCCCATCTTGCCCTCAAAATCGTTTGAGATCAAGTCGAATCTCTTCTTTCGACATTTTTTTCTGGCTTTTTCCATTTTTTAGTCATCAGCAGTAGATCATGGGCTGATTTTGTCCCAAAACAACAAAAAGCCGAGAAAAGGAAAAAAAAGCAAAATGTCAAGTCGAACGGTGATGCTCACGGTTTTTGTTTCTGTTCCATCTCAAACTAGAAAACAACAAGAGCGACGAAAAAAGTGCTTTTGACGGCAAAGTCATTTATTTACAGATATACCGCAAAGAAATTCACTGCATGACTCAAGTTGAAAATCAGTGGCTTTCAGCTTCTTTTTTTTTTTTGTTTTTTAACATCGCAATCGCCATTCACTCCATTTTAACCGCATCATTTTTTTTCTCACGAACGTGACACGCGCTTTCGAATACCTACTGGAACATTCCAAAAAAAACATGTTTGAAACCATGCGTGCTCCGTTGGGAGCGCGAGGCACCTAAATCTGTCAGACCTTGCAGCGCATTTCTCTCATTCATAGTCAACGTGGCAAGCCGAGATTCACCTCCTGATCTTTCTCTCCAACTCAAAAGCTGTGCTGAAATCCAAAGTGAGTCAATGCTGCCATCTGCAGGCATCAGTTAGTCATTACAGTCGTTGCAACCAAGCGCCGCCGAGCAATTATTGCGGGGTTGCGTCATCAGAAGGTCAACCGAGGAGCGGCGCGAAAGGCTTCCAAGTACCAACGGCGGAGAAGCGCGAGACGAGCGACGGCCCATTTACTCACAGTCGCGGCCGGCGAGCGGGGCGCAGTCCACCGACTGGCTCTTGGCCGGTGCCCTGGCAGCCGGGTTGGAGGCGGCGTGGATGCTGCTGCCGAAGCTGGTGCCCAGCTGCAGGCGCCGCATGTGGCGGATCACCGCCGTGGCGTTAAACGCTTGCTGACAAACAGACAAGAGCACGGACAGAGCCTTTTTTCCACTCTTTCAAAACAACCCGTGCCCGGGGTTCCTCCGGATGGCATGAGGAGGATGAACTTTGGTTTCGCGGCGTCTGCTACGAGCGCCCCGAAAGTCAAAACAAGCCTTTTGGATTCAAAGGTGAAACGTCTTCACGGATACCCGGGAGGAGGAGTCGAGTCGCTTCGAATCGGCTTCTGCCGATGCGAGAGCTTGGCAGGAAACCGCTGCGAAAGAAACTTCTTGGTGGCGGGCCCTTACCCTCCATTTGCTCTTTGCAAAGTTTTTGCGCATCTGCCGGCTGACGGACTCGTGAATGTTCTTGCAGAGGGCCGTGCCTCCTGCGATCCTGAGAGAGGAAGAACACACACACACACACGCACACACACACACACACACACACACACACACACACATTGCGTCACCAGTGCCAGCGGGCTTTCAGTTGGGACTGAATCCATCTCTTAATTCCGCAAGTCATCATTACTGCACCAAAATGCAACATGACAGCACACGTCATCTGGAAAAGTCGACATGCAAACAGAAACAACGTCAAGGCCACCATATTCAGTTGAGATGTTTTTTTTCAAATGCTGGCATTTTGCCCCTACGATGTTTTTTTTTTTTCCCCCCACTTGCACCTGCGGGACCCATAAAATGGCTGATTATTTAAAAAACGATATTATTCTTCAATATTTTTAGTTGCTGACAAATTTCTGCTCCACGCTTCGGCCCGTTTCTCCGGAAATGGTGTGAAAATGGGAATATTTACTTGGCAAGTCGATTGAAAACGTTCACCTCAGACGCCACTGGGATCCGAGTCAAAAAAAACAAACTAAGAGTAGCTCTCTCGCGACCGGTCGGCCTCGTAATCAACCGGTGCGACAATTTTCAAAGCTTTCCGGAGTCGCGAGACACCCCCGCCGCCATCAAACGCCCGATCGTAAGAAAGGAAGCGGGGGACGGGCACAAAGTCCGTCGGCGTCCACCTCGCGCCCTCCAACATCGAGCGGCCGACGCCGGCTCCCGATGGCTCGGCCGTGGCCAGCCACTAATCGGCGGTCATTCCTTCAGCGGGATTATCCGGGCGAGTCGCAGAAGTGGCATCGCAGCCGGCTGCCATGGCGACGGCGAACTCGCGCCTCAGCTCGGACAAAAGGCATCGGCGCCACGCGGCCGCTCAATCGCACGCCGGCGCGCTGCGGCTTCCTCACCAGGGATGCTCCAGAGCCCGGTCGCACGTGAACCTCTTCTCGGGATCCTTCTCCATGAGGCTGCTGATGAAGTCTTTGGCTGCGGACACAGATGCTGTTCAAATATCGGCGTCATCGTCAGATAGCCGGCCGCTGAGACCTCCAAATTCGACCCAGAACCTGAACGGGTTTGTATTATGGCGGAGGCCACAAGACGGCGGCAAAGGACCTTTTTCGACCTGAGACCGAAATGACGTTCGGCATCGGCGCTTGGCACCGAGACGCCACAAAATGGCGCCAAAGGGTTCTTTGAGAAGTGGCTTTGGCCGGAGGAGAAACACAAGCAAGCAACTTGGCAAGTCAGGCCAATTTGCGGAGGTTCCATTTCCTCTCCTTCCGGCAACCCACCTCTTCCGAAGGACAAGACTTCGGTTTTCGAACGTCTCTGTTCCCGACCAAATCGGTTTCAGACCAAAAATGTCGAGCTTTTTACGGATGACGACTGAAAATCGGTTCTCGACCAAACCGAGCGCACTTGAATGCGCCACTCGACTCCTCTCGCCTTCCTTAGACGAGGAAGTGACGCTTCCTCGGGTAGACGAGGTGGTTTGGGTTTTCGAATAAATCGTTTTTCGAACAGCCTTCTGGAACGGATTAAGGTCGAAAACCGAGGTGCGACTGGATATTGTACGCGGAGCCTCAAAGCCCGAAACGGAGTCGCGGTGAGTCGCTCGCAAACTGACACTAAACGGTCGTCACGAATTTTGGAAGCCAAGCTCCGGAGCCGAGACGAGAGCCAAACGAAACGAGGTACCAGACACTCAAGAACCTTTGGCGATACCGTCGGCCGAAAAGCCGGCCGGAGACCATGCTCGGCGACCGCCCGTTAGCTTAGCTTAGCTTAGCAACAACATATTTCCCCCCGAGCAGAGTTTTCACCAAGCGCTACGTCGAGCTCCACCGCACCACAAGCAAAAGCGTGCAAATGAAAGCTTCCTTTTGCGGAAAGAGGCGAATCGAGCGTTTTCTCACCGGAGTCCGATATGTCGTCCCAGTACGGCGCGTCAAACTCGTAGTCGGCCTTGAGGATCTGCTCGAAGAGCTTGGAGTCGTTTTCGTCGTAGAAAGGCGGGTAGCCGCAGAGCCTGCAAGAACGGCCGCCGCCACAGAGGTCATCCGGATGACGCCAAAAAGGATTTGCTGCCTTCTAATGCCCCCCCGCCCCCCCCGCCCCAATGCAGCACGCAAAAAAGCAGACAGACAGCTTCATAGGACGAGGAGAAAGCCATCATCATGTGGGGACCCAAAAGGCAAATCCCCGATCTAAATCCGGGCGCCGCGTTACGGTTGCAAGTCCCGCTCGCTTGACACCACTGAGCAGACTGCTCCGATATGTGACAACGCGCAGTGTCACGTCTTACTCCTGACTTTGTCAAAATGGGCTCATGAGTTCTTTCTTCCAAAAGAATTTGGACTTTTTGCCTCAAGCACTTTGGATGACGAAAAGGGTTTGCGGTGTCGGGAAGCAAACCGCGCCGGATTATCCTCGATTGCGTCTGGGATTTTCTTTGGTCCGGTGAGCCACTTTCCTTAATTGGCTTGGGAAAGCCGCGTGGTTGGGCGGCGCTTCAGGGGCCGTGAGCTCATGGGCCGTCCCTTCCGGCGGCGGGGCACTTACAGAATATAAGCGATGACCCCGATCGACCAGCAGTCCACGGCTTTGCTGTAGGGCTTCTGCGCCAACACTTCGGGTGCTGCAAACAAGCAAACAAAGCCAAACGGGTTTTTAGGACGCCCGCGAGCGCCGCCGTGAAAGTCAAGTGGAGCCGTTTGCTGCATTCTTTCCTCGCAACGTGCGCTCGCGCTTCTTTCTTCCTCTCACGTACGGTCAACGCGAGTTCATTCTGAGGCCGCACCAAAGGACGAAATGCCTTTGCGTGCGTTTTGCTGGGGAACAACCAGCCGCCATTGTTGTTTTGATCTCGCGTGACAAGATTTCCGTTCTCGCGAGACGAGGTTGGCGAGATCGGCCTTCGCCGCGCGGAAAGCAGACGAGTCGTGTCGCGTTGAAACAAATGTTGCCCAAGTTTATTGCGGGGATATCGCAGAGGAAGCAGCTAAAGTCGGATCGCTTTTTTGCGATAAACGCGAGACGAGGTTGGCGAGATCGGCCTTCGCCACGCGGAAAGCAGACGATTGCCGAGTCGAGTCGCGTTAAAACAAGCGTTGCCAAAGTTTATTGCGGCGATATCGCAGTGGAAGCAGCTAAAGTCGGATCGCTTTTTTGCGATAATAATCTTGTATGCCGGAATTATTGACATTTTTGCAGCATTTGTTTATAAGAAAATAAACCTATTCTCAATGTATATTGTTGTTGTTTGTGTTATTATCATGTGCGATTGAAGAAATAGACCGTTTCAGGACTCTCTAAATCAAGGGTGTCAAACTCCTTTTTGTCACGGGCCACATTGTCGTTACGGTTTGCCTTGGAGGGCCGTTATGAATTTTGGGAAACCATATCAATGTTTAATCCCCTCCACATATGACATACACGGCGCACAACAAATGAGGAATAACTAGTTTTAAAATCAGAAGTCAAGAATAGTGACTCTTATTGTGGATTACATATGAGAATTTGAATTTTTGGTCGAGATTTTAGCAAGCATCGTGGAAGTTGATTTGTTTGATTTGCTTTTGCGGGCCACACAAAATGATGCGGCGGGCCACGTCTGGCCCCCGGGCCTTGAGTTTGACGGCTGTGCTCTAAATGCATAATGGGACTCCTACTTTTCTGATCAGCGAGTCCGCGGGACTCGCGGGACTCAAACTTTAAAATGATCAGCGAACAACACCTCGGTTTCTGAACGTTTGCGTCGCAGAACCGATGCGCCGGTGGTCAAGATGAGCCGGCGGGCGCCGGCGGAAAGACGGACGGGCCCGTCCACAAGCCGAAGCTCACCCACGTATCCCGGCGTTCCGCAGGCGGTGGCCATCACGTCGCCGGCCCCCTCCATCTTGGACAAGCCGAAGTCGCTGATCATGATCTTTGACTCGTCGTGCGGGCTGAAGTAGAGAAGGTTCTCCGGCTGAGAAAAGCCGAGGGGAAGAAGAAGGAGTGGCTTCCTTGAAATGGAGGGACACGCCCACTCCCCCCGCGCCATTCGGACGTCCCCGACGCAGAGTGGCGCCGCCCGGCGGTACCTTGAGGTCCCTGTGCACGATGCCCATGGAGTGCAGGTAGTTGACGGCATCCAACACTTGGCGGATGAGCCGACTGGCGTCCATCTCGGTGTAGAAGCCCTTCTCCACGATGCGGTCGAACAGCTCGCCGCCCGACACCCTAAAGCACATTTGCCCCGCATTTGCTTCATCTGGTGCGCGCGGGGGCGGATGCCAAAGCGATCCCCCGACCACCGAGTTACTTTGACGGCACAGCGCCTCGCGGTTGGTCGTTTGGGGTACGACGCGCGCTATCGGAGCAGGAAATTGCATCATCGGTGTCATTTTTTTTTCCCCAGGAAAGAGTCACCGCATTCTCGCTCGGCATAAACGACGGAGGCTCGTCGGATTCATCGCCAATCGCTTATTGGCTGTACAAAATTGTGTTCTGGGCGATCAATTGGAGGACGTCAAAATGATGATGTCATCAAAGGGCCAGTGGCGAGAGTCTATTTGAAATGGAATTGCTGGAAAACAAACGGGCCCGCTGGATGATCGTTGGCGGCACGAGCTGCTGAAATCTGATCGGACACCTTCGCCCCCCCCCCCCC